TCGTGTAGGAGGGGTTTTATGAAGTTTGCCACCAAGAGCAAAGGCTAACATTCTTTTTGAAAATACCTTTGCACTGGCCAGGTCTCTTCCCATTTCAGGGCAGAAAGCCAACATGCTACTTATCAATCTAAGCCTTACCACTAAGTAGCTCAGGTTGGCCCTTTTCCTCTCTGTTCTCTAAACTGTTAGGTGTAAGGTAAGCAATGCCTTACTGACTAATGGTAGCCAGAATCTAGAGAACACCAAGCACCTGAGTTGACTTAAACCAATCCACTCAATACAGGCATAGAAGGTTCAAAGCAAATGGGCAAGTACTAATACACATCTACACACACACACACACACACACACACACACACACACACACCCCTTTTAATATGTCTGTCCCAGCTCCTGCTCTTAAATAAATAGACTAAGAGGACCTGCCATTAGGTTTACAACCAGCAGCAGACAGAAAGCATTAAAAATTGTATCTAGAGCTGGAGAGATGTCCCGGCAGTTAACAGCACTTGCTGTTCTTCCAGAGGACCTGTGTTCAGTTTCCAGAACCCACAGGCAGCTTACAACTGTGTACAATCCAATTCCAGGGAATCCAGTATCCTCTTCTGGCAACTGGAAACACAGGCATGCATACAGTGTACTTTACGTTCAGGCAAAACACTCATAAACATAAAGAAAAACTAAATCTTTAAATAAAATTTAAAATAAAAATTGTGACTACATTAAACAAGTAGACTTTTTGCTCTGTCATTTACTTTCTAAAGATCACACTATAATAGGCATTTATGTGCCATTTACATTGGGGTAGGTATTATAAATAAGGTAGAGGTTATAAAACTATATAGGAGGTTTATATAGTTTCTAGCAAACACTATCCCATCTTATAAAAGGAGCATGGATGCCTCTGAAAATTGATACTAAGAGGGAGGGACCTAAGAATCAATCCCCTACAGGTACCAAGAACAACCACCACAACACACAAAGGTCGACAAGACATGTACAGGCACACTCCCATTTTCAGCATTGTAAAACTCTTCCAACAAAGAAAGTTGAGACTAGAATGGAAATGGTTGTAACACTGGAACCTGTTCTGGTGGGAAACAGGGCCATAACTCTAACCAGAACTAAAGGTAACAAAATGAAGTTATTCTAACAGAAGGCAGTTTTGCCCTCACCATACTGTATTATGTGTTAAGTAACTGAGCTCTTTTTCCCACTGCTGTGTAATCACACAATGAAACCCCAGATGTCATTCATATATACAGAAGCCAGGCATAGGGTTGAGAAGGGACCCTTTCTTTATTTGCATTGCTAATAGCTTTGAAAGGACAGGAAAAAGCCTATATGGAGAACAATGAATGCCAAAACATTTGTCGATTTAATAACAATATGGGGTAATCAACTTGCAACTAGTATTCGTGGAACTTGCCCAGCAACCATTCTTACCCCCTTCTGGTTGCACAGAACATGAGGCTAAGGCACAGTCTCTAGCATGGGTCCCTCTTAAGTTACTGACCTCCCAACTCCAAGCTTTCCTTTCCTAGAACTTCTCCTTTTCTAGCTGCCATTCCATGTGATGTACAATGGGGTACATGCTGCTCTGTCCCTCTTATTCCCACTAAAATAAGAAATTCAAAGTCATCCTTTAAACACACCTTCACAGTAGTACTTAGCTGGCAGGAGTGGATAGCAGTCTGCTACCTCTGATCAAAAAATGAGCCAAATGAAGAGCCTATCTATGACCTCTGCACAGGGTAAGGCACACATCACAACATTTAGAATCAATCACTGCTTGCTAAATTAGACATCTTCTAAAATATATATGAGAAAACTGAACTCTACTGGAATCTGCATACTGATTTCCAAATATCAACATCATACTGTCCAATACACAAGACTACAGCAGTGAAGCCACACCCCCAATCCATCATTGTTCCTGCCTCTCTGAGAATTTCTACCCACAAGACACCTTCACCTTGTTCACCAACCCTATAGAAGGCCAACATTCTATCTCAGCTTCTTCCTCCATCTCTGTCAAAGGGCTTCCCTCAAACTCTTAAGACCCCCTTCATGCCTTAGGACTAAAGCCCAGATGCTCTCAGGCTTTCACTGGTTGTTATTCAATGACAACTATAACAGCCTCTTCCAATTGCTTACCCCTTGGTTATATTGCACCTATGAGAATCAATCTATAAAGCCTTAATAAAAGGATAAGACTCTATGTTAATCATTTTCCTAGACCACTTTAGCAGTTCCCCTTAAACTACCGACATATGCATTATACTTTTGAGTAAAAGGTCACAGATGCAATCTAACAGACACCAGGGTTCCAAGCAATGAAATAACTTGCAGAATTTTACAGGTTCCAAACAAAGTCTAATTCTACACACTGAATCAAGCTTAAGATTCCAGCAGGACCTAGATCTTGGTGTAATTTGTCCTTTGGGTACCAGAATTAGATTCTTCCATCTTACCTTGTGTGTCTTTCATAAGAGTTAGCTGCTATGCATAGACCTGGGCCAAAAGGCTTTGTTCTTAAGGGAAATACAATTATCTTCTAATTCTGCTCCAAGAATCCCAGACACTAATGATTTAACACAGTCAAAAGTGCAGAGAGCATCTAAGTCCAACCATGCTGTCAAATGATATGTTACCATCTGTGTAAGGAATGTACTTTTGAGAAGATGGCAGCAAGAAACTTGATGGAATTAATTTCAGAGATGTTTTGAAGAAGTGCTATTTTTGAAAACTGGGCTATATAGCCCAAAAGTTCCCCAAGAAAGAGGGGCTGGATATGTAGCTCAGTAGTAGACAAAGCATTTGCTTAGCAAGTATGAGGCCATGGGTTTGAACTTGAGAACTACAAAGGGGATGGGGGGGATAGGTACAAGCAATGTTAGGAAATTTAAAGTTAGCATGACCCAGTGTTAAAAAGGTAGAGTTTTCGGGAGACTGACTTCCCAAAATGTATAGCCCTTATATACATAAATGAGTCTCCCCAGATTTTCCCATAATATTTTGCAGTTAACACCCAAGTTGTCTACATGACACTGTAAATTAAACCAGGCCCACCATCCAAATATTTGGAATCCTTTCACTAGTTATGATCATGAGCTTTAACAAGAAGCCATTCTTGTTTCTAGCATCTGTTCTAGATCTTTGTACTTTGGTGGTTGAATAGAAAACTAGTCCCCTCTTGTAGGTGGCTGGAGGACAGAGAAAAGCAGCCTTCTGCCTTTAAGCATTGACTTTAAAGAACACCTCAGGAATGGAGAACCTAGGAAAACCTAGGAGAACTAGAGAAGATTAAACCTTTGATTTTATTTCTAAGGCTCTTCCAGTTTCAACTTAAAAGCCAAAGGAATCCATATCCTCTCACATCAAAAATATCAGTCCACAATTGAGACCACTTTGCAGGCAGTCTGTGCTGACCCAGACTGGAGGGAATCTCTGCTAGGGGAGTTTGCTGCCTTACTTTGACACTCTGTCAAATCCTAACAGCTTCTGGCCCTCTGAATGGAATTAACTGGCCCCAACTAGATAAATGTGTGTTCTCCTCAAGCAATTTTCACAAAGGTAAAAAGTGTTCTTCAAAACTAAAGGTACACAGGGCGTTGGTGGCGCTTGCCTTTAATCACAGCACTTGGGAGGCAGAGGCAGGTGGATCTCTGTGAGTTCGAGGCCAGCCTGGTCTCCAGAGCAAGTGCCAGGATAGGCTTCAAAGCTACACAGAGAAACCCTGTCTCGAAAAAACAAAAAACAAAAAAAAACCTAAAGGTACACAAAAAATGTGTGAAACCCTCATGCATGTTTTCCTTTAGTTTTTTCTCCCCACTGAGGCCCCAGCACACTGGTGAGTAATTCATTCATGTCACCCACTTGTTCTTTTCCTAATTTGGAACCTTCCCCTATGGTAAGTATATCAAAGGGATCCTGAGATGGGAAGGCAGTTGAGGCAAGGAGGAACATTAGCCAGAGAATAAGCACTTTAGGTCCCCAGTGGTGTCATTACAGGCATCTGCATTTAGGTGATGTGCCACCCCCACCCCATCCCATCCCTGTGTCCCCTTGAAGGGAGAAAGGATCTGAGTTCTCTCTTGGGACACTTACATAAGATCTTGTAAAACTTCCTGTGACATTTGGGGGAAAAATATAAGCTGTTATTTCACTCCCTCAGGAGATCATTTTAATGGACTGAGTGACAAAATTCACGGATTCAGAATTCAGAGCAGAAACGTACTCAACCGAGGTACAACAGCACAGGACAGGGAGAAAAAAAGCATCCCCATTAAACAGGGTCACCCAGAGGATGGACTGGGTGTGCAAAAGACAATCTGTTCCCTCAGACGTGACCCATTTAACAGCAGATTATTTCGAGGAAGCGCATAGATTTAATCTCACACAGGCAAACACATGGCTTGTGCAAAGAACTGTGGTTAAACAGAGGGAGCATTTCAAAGCAATGAACAGCATAACTTCATGATGCACAAACTTTAGTCATCATCCCAACCGCAAAAGCAATGGCATTCACAAGAAGCTCTGGCTAAACCCTGATCACTACCAGAAGTTTAGTCTAAAGGTAAAGATTAGGTATATTGGTTGGGTGTTCCTCCTGGAGGTATCCAAATGTGGAACTACATCCCCAAACTGTCCTCTCTTCGACCAATTGGAAAGAAAAGTTCTCGGGGCATCCCATCATGAAAGGCAGGTGTGTGAGCAGCGCAGAACGCGGGAAGGGTCCCAGGGTGGTGGGACACACACACACACACACACACACACACACACACACAAACTGCCTAACTGGGGGCACCGGAGATTTAGGGTCTTTCACCTCCTGCTTTTCCAGCACTCAAAGCCAAGTCAAAAACGGTGTGCCGTCCCCCCCACCCCCGCCCCAGCATCCTAAGCACACCGGGCACCAGCCACAGGTTTGGGTAACTTGTCCAGCACTGCTCACCAAAGCTCCCAAAGGAGGTTCTCTCTCACCCTAGGGTTCTTACCTTGGCCTTGGCTACCCTCAGGTAGAGGAACACTCCGAAAAAGCTGAACGGTGTGGTGACTCTGACGCCTACGAAATGCAGGGGGTTCGGGTCGATATCCGGTGCTATTTTAACCCGACCGTCGGTACCGAGCACAGACTTCGGCACAGCCTTAGGCTCCAAATGCTACAGGAAAGATCCGCGTAGCCGCGACTGAACACTGTCTCCTCTTTCTCCTCCTCCTAGGCTGCTGCCGGGAACTGTTTCACGCCAGGACTCTTCCAAGCCGGGGACGCCTCGCATAGGCAGGGGCAGCCCTGGGTT